GTATAGTAGTAGGAGTAGTAGTAGCAGTAGTAGCAGCATAGTAGTATACGTTCTGTCGTCGTCGTCGTCGTGGTCGTCGTCGTTGTAGTAGCAATGTATAGTCTAGTATAGTACAAAGCAGTAGTAATATCATCGTCGTCCTCGTCGTCGTCGTCGTCGTAGTAGTAGTATGTAGCAGAAGTAGTGGTAGTAGTAGTAGTAGTAGTATAGTAGTAGTAGTAGTAGTAGTAGTCGTTGTTGTTGTTGTTGTTGTGTAAAGGTGTTCTAGTATATAGTCGTACTTGGCACTACAAATAAAGTCGATCTAGTCGTGCAGTATAGTTGTAATAGTGTGTAATTTTGGTGTATAGGTGTAGTCTGGAATGTAGTATTCGACTTGCGCGGCCTTCTTCAGATCACCTCAGGTAGCAGCTGGGTTTTCGAATTGGCGAAGCATTCCATGGCGGAGGTTGCACATGTGCAGATTTCACTTGTCTATATACTCTATATTTTTGCACAACAGACTTTAGCAGAACATGTGCTACATTAGCATTCCAAGACAGTGCACATGCACACATTCTAGACTCATCTACACTCTATACATTCACTTCTTCCTAGTCATCTGCATGTGCACAACCTCCGCCATCTGGCTCATCCCCTTCACCGCGCTCTGCAGCGTGGCGGTGTGCTCTCTGGAGCGCCGCTTGTGCTGCTCCTTCTTGCCTGCATCAGCATTCCCACAGCTTCAATCGAAGGCGAGCACAAGACACTTTCACACACAGCCGTCCAATGGACATGCACTCCGAATGTCACAAAACCACGCCAGCCCTTCATCCTTCTGGCCTCCTCGGACGCGCGGCTTGTCTCTGCCTCCTCCCGGCCTTGGTTCCCGCAGGGGTTTAAGGTTTAGGGGTTTTAGGGTTTATAGGGCTCATATAGGGTTTCGGGTTTACGTGTCTATATACCAGGACATATAAATAGACACGGCTATATATATATATATACACATGAACTCATGCCGAACGATCCCAGCATCATACACCTGTACATGCACGTGCATGATAGTATGTATATAAACACATAGTATACGTAAGACTTATGCAGTGCACATGAGTCTGTATATATATATATGCATGTATATACATATACATATGTATATGAATGAAAGGGTATATACATGCAGGTAAATGTGTACGCGTCTTTGTACAGAATGCGTCCACACGTAGTTTTGTATGTCTGCGTGTCTGTATGTATGTATGTATGTATGTACGTATGTATGTATGTATGTATGTATGTATGTGTTTATGTATGTCTGCATATATGCCTGCATGTATATGTATGTCCTTATGTATGTTTCTATGTATGTATATAGGTATATGTACGTATGCATGTAGCTATGTATGTGTCTAGTTTCATGTCTACGAAAATATCTTAAGATATTTTTTACATACTTACACATGTACCCCTCCCTCTCTCATTGTCTTGATGAATATGTGTACGATATATACATATATATATATGTATATATATGTATATATGTATATATATGTATATATGTATATATGTATATATGTATATATGTATATATGTGTCCTGTGTAGATGTATATATACAAACAATCGTACGCACCAAACAGATGTCTGTATAACTAAACAAATAACTAGAAATATAAATATAAGCGTATATGGCATGCATGCATCTGTGTACGTATGTATCTAGGAACCTAAATACGTATGCATAAATGCTCATTTGCTCATATATATATATGTACTTTCATGCTATATCTATTATATATATATAGATATATGTGTGTATACTATATACATATATAGATAACTCTATATATGATTCTATATGTATGTATGTATGTATGTATGTATGTATGCATGTATGTATGCATGTATGTATACATACATATATACACATGATATGTATACATGTATATGTGTATATTTCCCACAAAGGTACATATGCATGTGCGTATAGAATATATTCTTGTGAGGAGAGTGGCTCGTGATAGATGCCCCGCTCGTCGACATAGCCACCGCCGTTCGGCAAGTAGTAGCCCTTGCGAGGCTTCGAACCACTGCTCCTCAGTTGATGATATACACATAAGTATGTGTGTATAGATACATACATGCACAACTACATCATCCTCTTCAGCAGGATTGCACGCTGCATAGTATAGAGGCCTTGTAGGGTTTAGGGTTTTGGGTTATTTTGGCTCTATATAGACAAACATACACCAACTTACGGCTCAGCTGTGCACATGTGCAGAGTTGCATGCAGCATATGCATCAAAGTGACGCCGCGGTGCTGGACTCGTCGTCGTGGGCCCAAGGCCGTTTTGTGCCCCTGTTCCACGGAGCCGCCCACCCCTTCTCATCATGCCATTCTTTCTTCACATCATGCTGCTCCTTCTTGCACCACCACTGCTGCCCTTGCTGGCCCTTCCACTTCTTCCACCCCCACTGCTCAACCTCCTCCGTTTTCTCTTCCTTAACCCACCATGGTTCCTCCTCCTTCGTGGAATCCCACGAGGCTTCATGACCCGTGGCATCCCAGCATTCATGATCAGCCGTGGCCGTTGCATCATCCCGTGCCCTCCTGAGGCCAGGTGGAAGCTTATAGGGTATAGGTTATGTAGAAACTCATGTAGACGTTCAAGTCATATAATATGTATGTATGCATGTAGGGTATACATGACCCCCGTGCATGAAATGGCACTTCCTCGCACATCTGTCCTAGGCATTGGGTCTTTTCAGGAATGGGAGAACTATATATTTACAGCCGGGATGTCTATATACATATATATATATATAGAGACACTTATCGAGGACCGGGATGATTGCGTCATGACGTCATTACATAAGCCGGAGTGCACGAGCAATCGAAATATTATCGCACTGAACTAAGAATTATTCATGCCCTGAACTAAGACATATTCACGGCGGAAACCGCAAACCCGAAACCAACAGCTTTAAACTTCTATGTATATATAAATAAACACACCTTCTAAAAAGGTTTGAAACTCCAAGATCACACACTCAAGAAGACCGGATCTTGGCATGCCCCGAAAATATCAAGGACGCATGCAATATATGTGGTTGAGGGATGCGGTGCTGACACAAGTTTGGGGATCCTGTGTAAACATATACATATAGACCCAATTAAAACATGAATATATTTTGCCGGGGACATTTAAAAAAAGCTCATGTAGTCCGTGTCCTCCTGCTCGGCCTGCAATGCTTCGGTCTCCCCATTGTTCAGCTCCCTGCACGTGACAACGCCGAAGTCGAGGTCCACCTGCGCGACAGGAAGTGCAATAAAAGCCAGATTGTCCGATCTATATACTGCTTCTGCTGCAGAGGAATTTGAATCCCGTGGCGAAAGGACATGTCTACCAACCCAGGCAAGCCTCGACCTCTTCCATGTCCTCCTTAACAGAGGCCATGGCTCCGTCGACCAACGTGCTCGAGAACACTTGAAAAGTGTGCGGAACTGCATGCAATGCCAATATATGCTGGCTATATGTCTGCATGCCCCTGCATGGTGCATGCTGTACAGCTGTCTGCATGCAGATGCCACATGGCCCACGAATGCTTTGCAAGCTGTTCCTGCAAACATCCCTGCAAAGAAGCGGCGAAGGCACTCGGACTCCCTGCGGCCTGCAACATGCAAGAACTTATCAGCAACTGCACTCATGCCGCAAAAGATGCCATGTATGTCACAGCAAACTTGGACATGTCGTTCAGGTGCAGATACTGCAGACAATGGCCCCCGCCCCCCCGCATGCACAGGTACTATACAAACGGCCCGCCAAGGACTCCAAAAACAGAAGAACTCTACACTTCAACACGATCCGCTCTAAGTCCAATATAGTGAAATAGATATATACATCCTGTATCTATTTATATATATATACATATACACTGTCTACATATATATATATGTATATGTATATATATATATATATACATACGCATATGTACAGTGTATATACTCCATGAAATCCATCCATCCTCATTGCATGGATGTCC